ATAAAGCGCTACACTCCTCTGTGAAAGCTACAGTTTCTACTTCATTAAAGGCCCTTTCCTAGTCAGAATGTCTTTCATAAATTTAGCATAAGCAGGAACTTGAGTGATTAAGTCAGTAAAAGGAACTGTTACCTGCAGGTTTTTCACCACCTCTAAAAACTTACCGAATTGTTTATCAAGCTTACTCTTCAGTTGTCTATTAGGGAATGGAAGCTTGATAACTGGGCTCTGCACATCTCCTCCCTTATCCTGCTATTTACCCTGCACGGAAACACTAGTAGGGTTAGTATCTATTTGTAGCCCTGCAGGACTAGCAGGATTAGCGTTTGGTATAGAGGAATATTGATCAGGAACTGGTCTATCTTCCTTTGGCATAGGAGGTCTATCATAATGTGAACCACTCCGTAGAGTGATTGCATTGGCATGATCTGTAGGATGGATAGGTTGTGATGGTAGAGCTCCCTGCTGACGGGATTGTAGGGTAGATGAAAGTTGTGCAGTTTGATTGTCCATGATTTTATTATGGGCTAGGATAGAATCAATTTGCGCATCCCTACTCTCCATGTGCTTTTGCATATTGGCAAGTATTGCTCTAATTTCTGTCATGGCAGGGTTGGAAGATGATGAGGATGATGCTTGGCTTTTCTAGCCGGAATTAGGATGATAATATTTTTGCTGTGGTGGGGTTTGCTGTTGTGGTTGTTGTGGAGGTGGAGGATTTTGTACATTGGTGCTCCGGTACGAAAGATAAGGATGATTTTTATAACCAGCATTGTAGGAATTGGAATAGGGGTTATTCTGCCTATAGGTTTGAAAGGCATTAACTTGTTCCATAGAGCTCCTACAATCTTGCTCCCAATGACCTACAATTCCACAATTTTCACAAAAAGCTTCATGGTTAGCAACAGCAGAAACATTAGCTACATAGTTAGGAGCAGCAGTAAGATTATCTAATTTTTGACAAATAGATGTTAATTGAGCTTGCAAAAAGGATACGGAATCGACACTATGTTTTCCTTTATTTGCAAACCCTCTCGGATTCCCATATTGGGAATTGTGTATTTCCATGTCTTCAATAACCTGTCCTGCATCGTCCACATTTAAATTCATGAACCTCCCACTAGCTGCCGAATCTAGCACTGATCTAGAAGAATTTCCAAGTCCATTATAGAATGCTTGGATCAATTGACATTGTGCTAGATTGTGGTGGGGGCACTCTCTCTGTAGATCCTTGAACCTCTCTCAAGCCTCATATAACGTTTCGTCGGCTTCTTGAGCGAAGTTCTGAATAGCACTCCTTAGCACCGCTGTTCTCTCTGCAGGATAGTATTTATTATAGAAATTCAAAGCAAGAGTTTCCTAGTCAGTAATACCAAGTGCAGTTCTATTCAAACCATTAAACCATAATTTTGCTTTGCCACATAATGAAAAGGGAAAAAGAATCTCCCTGATTTGGTCTTGCGTGACCCCGGCTTGTCTAATGGTGTTACAATATTGGCAGAAATCTGCGATGTGAAGATTAGGATCTTCACCCTTATCTTCGCTGAACTGCTTCCTCTCTATCATAGTGATAAATTGGGGCTTGATCTCAAATTGAACTCCATCTAGAGCCGGAGTGGGAGTAAGGTACGGGAAATCTGTGAGCTTCAGTTGCGAGTAGTCACTGAGTTTCTTCTGGGTCGTCATCTCTGATTCTGAATCTGAAGGAATATCTGTGTCACTAGAATCAGAGGGAGGATCTCTTCGACCGTTGTCCTCCTCAAAACCCGCCATAATTTGTCTATAGAGTTTCCTTTGCCTATGAAAAGAACGCTCGATCTCAGGGTCGAAAGGGATGTAACCTGATCTGGAACACCTGGGCAAAAACAAAGAACTAAAGACAAATATGAGAATTGCCTCAAAGAACTAACGTTCTCTGAGGCAAAAAGGGGAAAATCTAGACTACAAAAATATAATCAGAAAACAAAAATAAAACCGTCTCCCCGGCAACGGCGCCAAATTTTGACAGGGTAAATTCGTATCCCCAAATCAAAAATAATTACCTAAATCCTCTTACTAAAGTAGATAGGGAAGTAGGGTCGAACTCCACAGGGAAACAGGTCTTTTTACTCCTAATTAATTATTATAATCTAAATTATCTAAGTAACCAAATATTTTTGTAAATAAAATCTAAAGTACGGAGAATAAAGTCGAAAGGAATAAAGTAGGGAGAAAATCAAATATTAAAGGCCTAGAGCATAGGTTCACTAATAAACAATATTCCAGGGCAAATCATAATAAGAAATCATCAAGCATTGATTAATCATATTATAAAGGGCTTTCGCTACGTATTATAATCACAGAGTTAATTTACCGGTATTAAATCTCATCTGTAGAATCTTGACTTAACCATTTATAAACTAATCCGCCTATTGAAACTAAGCCTAAATATCAATTCTCATATGTCGAATCTCGAATTAATATTGCTAAACTCATACAATTAAATCTGGCCAAACCTAATTGCATAGCATTAAAACAATCAATAGGAAATTAACCAAGCATTGATAATTAACAATCACAACAATACCCCTTCATATCATTTATTAGATCCCCATAAACCCTAGAAATTAAACTACTCACAAATCATCATGACTAAACTAATCAAATAAATAAATAAAAGCATAATCAAGAAAGCAAATAGAATAACTGAAATTAAAAGGGAAGAAATTGTTACCAAAAAGAAATCTGGAATTAAAGGAAAAATTAAGAACAAAAGTTGAGAGAGAATTTAAGAGAGTGAAAAATACTAAGTAGAGAGAGAAAGTCTAAGAAAGAAAGTAATCTAAAAATTCCGTACCAAATCGTACTTAAACGTTTTCTAAAACAAGAATTAAAACTAAACTTAATCAGGTCTACTAAAAACGCGCGCCCGATCGGGCGAAGGGCCACCCGATCGGGCGCGCCTTTTTCTTCGCGTTCCTCCCAAGCCGCATCGCCCGATCGTGCTAGAGGCTCGCACGATCGGGCGCGCTATAGCACGCTCAGCAACAAAGCCTTGCCCGCCCGATCGTGCTAGAGGTAGCCCGATTGGGCGATTGCTTCACTTTGAGGCTTTGACTTCGATTAAGCTTGATTTCTCGGCCCAATCCGGATTTCCTCCTCGGGTCTTGAATACTTGGTCCAAATGCCTCGGGATCCCAATTACCGAGCCCTTAATCACCGGCTCTCACCGATCCTGGGCTCCAAAAGTGGTCGTATCCTTCTAGCTTCCGTAGTTGATCCATAAAGCCCGGGAAAATGCTCCAAGAGTGCAATTTCCTGTAAAATACAACTAAAACTACGAAAACACTAGAACACACAAATTAGTAATAAAAGTGGCCTGAAAGAGCCAAAAACACTACTAATAACGACCGAGGGACGGGGGTAAAACACTATATAAAATGGACATATCAGGGATCAAGCCCCCAAGTCTAGTTCTAAGTGGATAGGGGTGAGCATTGGAGATCCCTTGCTATGATCGTGGTGTAAGTGTGTAAATGTGAATATGAATGCATTTTTATTACGGCCGCACCTCTTTGTGAGGTTGCCTACGTATCCGTTAGGAATTAGGCCAAACGTAACTCTAGCCAAACCTCACACAAGTGTGTGTATGGACTGTTTTGTTCAGAGTGGTCTGATTTGGATGGAATTGGTTTATTCTTACTGTTTGGGTGCGATTATAATAGGGTTTTTCTGTAATTTTCTCTAGGGATTTCTTGTGTGATTTAGGGTATGTTGAGGGTGTTTGAAAGTATTATTGCACTCTTTAGTCCCATGTCTTGCTGCTACTGTAATCTTGTGCGTTTATTTTTCAACATGCTAGAGATAAGCTTTGTTGAAAATATCATCGTCTTAAACAGCTTGAGGCACACCAAATTAGTTTTATTGATGATAATCTAATGTGTTTTAAATCGCTTACAGATTTGGCAGTGACATGGAATAAATTTGAATGTTCTACAAGCATCAGTCATATGGAATGTACGCAATGTAAAAAGTAAGATGATGATATTAGTGGAAAAGGGTCTGCAATACGTAGAGCTTAACAGTGAGATGCAATGCTGCTGCTGCTTTGCTGGATAGTGGACATGCCGCTGTTGAATGCTGGTACTCTTATTGAAATTAAGTTGTAATTTTTCCCTTAAAAAAAAAAAAGACTGTTGGAAATTTTGTTTGCAGGGTTTTTGGATGTAAAGTGTAAATATTACCTAGTTATTAATGAAATTAAATAAGCTTTTATTTATATATTGAATGCTAACCAGTTTAGAGGAAAAAAAAATCTGGTGTTTAACCAGTGCCAAATCTTATTAATAACAAAAAAAAACTTGCCACGCACCGGTTAACCGGTGCCAAAGTTAATAATTACCACCGATTTTGATCCGGAGCGATTTTTTTAGTTTTTTGGCATCCCTCAAATGAACACCGATTCAAAACCAGTGCTATAGGAGGGTTTTGAACCGGTGCTCTTTAATATTTTTCTACTATCAATTTGACTTTTACACTATTCACATGCTCCACCTTGACTTTCTATATTTAAGTAAAAATGTACAATATCATCTGGTTAGATTCGTCTCGATTTAAATTATTTTTATATCAAATTTTATAATTTTTACATATTGGAAATTAAATATATTAGAGTAAATTTAATGCATTGGCAAATGTGAAAAATGAAGGGTTGCATGTAAAATAAAGTATACAAATAGATAAATATATCTTTAAGTAAACTTTAAAAAATGTAAAAATAATTATGTAGCTTGAAAAAAATGAATAAAGTAGAATATCCTCAATAATTCCAACTTTCCAAGACAATAATGAAGATTTATTTTCTTTAATTCCTCTTTTTACTAACATTATTTTTAAAATAGTAACATCATGTTGTAACGTCTAGACCATACACTGGTTAAATTAACCTAATTAAACAACTTCATCAATAAACATTGTGGATGACACAGTTTGTAGACTCCAATTATTGCATGCCTTCTATGTAAAATCATCAAAGAAAACCTTTTATTTTAATAAACCAAAGGAAAGGAAGGGATGAAAATGACAAATCAAAGGAGGTTGGTTGTCTACCATTGCCTACTAATTAATCCATTTCTGAAAAAAAAAAACTAGAATACAAGTATTTCATTTCCATTTTTACCCATGACCTCCTCATCTATGGTTTATGTTGCAAGAAGTTGATTGTATTGGGAAGGAGCAAAATCAGACTGCTAAAATAGTGTTATGATAACCAGTCATCATCCATTCCATCAATATCTCCAATATCCATCCTGTTACATAACAACAAACAAACCGCACATGTTTAGGCAATTTTCAATTGGTTCTAAGAAAATAAAATTAAACAAGTCATTTTGGTCTATTTACCTCTAATTTATAACTGTAACAAAATAAATACTGGTACACATCTAGCATGGTGCACTAATTCTCAATTGACATGTACACAACATAGAAATAAAATAAAATAAAAATTTAGAAGGGTAGTATAACCATCACGTGTGATGTGTGCCCTTTTAAGTGATGTGTTGTTTACGCGTTGTATTGATTATGGGAAGATCCATCTATGTATTTAAAACTTAGTCAAGCATCAATGTAATTAAGTCTAAAATTTACCAAGAAGCTAAGTATAATAAAGAAACTATAACACGAGGATAAACATACTTCTTTTATATTATTATATACAATTTCTCAAGTACATTCGAGTATATTTTTCGTGAGTATTCATTAAGTGACTATGTTCCTTCATCAAATTAGGCTACTTCTAGGGCTACCTTTCACTCATTTGGAGACATTGATTTGAAACCAACTTTGGTGTACAAGAAAACATTGCATTTACTCGTACACATTTATATTTGTAACTTGCAAGTATACCGTAATATTGTCTCACTCTGTCCTTTCTACATTCTACTCGAATGAAGCTAGGTAAGACAGTCTTTCCTCGTAAAAAGGATTTCCTAACATTTCTTTTTTCTCACCGCTAAAACCTTAAAGAAAGAAAAGAGAATCTAAAGAAAGAACTTTTAATATTTTGAAAGTCAACTTTTCAATTTTTCAATCTTATTCCTAAATAATGCAGCAACTTTTATATAAAAATGGAAAAAACATAGTGAAATTAAATAAAATACCATCATTATAACATGGAACAGAAGCTTCACAACCAAAAGACAAGTTGCATTTTCATTCGCAGCATAAATTTTTTTAGTGATGGACACTTTGCAAAAGCATGCATAAATTAGCTGGTGTAACGCTAGGCAGGCCACGGTGCACCATGCCATTCATTTTTATTTTCTTCGTCTACACTTGGCTTTCTAGTCTAGCTTTGGACACAACAACAGTAAATTTCTTGATTTATACAATTAAGTCAACAACTATTAGTCTTTAACTTCATTTTAGTATTTATAAGGTTGTTGCTCGGCGATGACATACATTCTAAATGGTTTGCACACAAAGATCATGGAAAATACAAGTAATAGATATAAAGCGGACTTTCAATAATTTATTGATGGACAAGCCACTTTAATTTTTTTTTTCTTTACGTACGATCGATAAGGTATCGTATTTTCTAATTTTAGGACATTTTCAAAAGATAAATAGTGGTAGCTAACATAATTATTAATTATCAAGTTTGGATAGAACTTTAAAATGAACATCCTTGTATTACTCCTTATTAGTAATCAAAATTCGATTATAATAATATCCATAAATCCACACGTCACATAATACTTGAGAATTGAGATATTGTATGTTTTTGGCTCAACACTTGTCTTGTAGTTATGTATTTCAATTTTCCTTCCTACCATAGAGCTCTCTTGATCAAGTTACATACATTATTAAAAGTTAAATATAATTGAGCACATCAAGTATATTGACTTAAATTGTACTAACCATCCATCTTTTTTCCAAAATTATCAAAAGTTTTGATTATATTATTAATAACATTAATTTGAGAGAAATAATAATTAATAACCCAAGATAACCCTTGTAATCATAAACACAAAAACCCAAGATAGCATACAAATAAATTACTCCAAAATCAACCCAATTTATTATATATAAATTGTGTATCACACCAGTTAAAAACTACTAAACACTCGTATTATTTAAAAAAGAACAATTAAGCTAATAATATAAGTATTAGGTCTTACCATGGCAAAGTAGTATCCTCGGAGCAAGAATCATCCAAATGTTGTTGCAACAAACTCTCATCATTATTTGCACTTAACCAAGGAGGAAACTCCAACTCTCCAAATGCAACATGATCATTATTATTATTATTATTATTATTATTATTATTATTATTATTATTATTATTATTATTATTATTATTATTATTATTATTATTATTATTATTATTATTATTATTATTATTATTATTCTCTTCTTCCCTTTTAATTTCCATACCAAAATCCACCGTTTTAAGGTACTTAAACCACCAAGCTGACTTAACCAAATTCAAAGTATCATCCCACTCCATTTGATGTTGTTCTCCTACAAACCGAATCGCCGCCATCTCAACTTCATCTAACGCCGGATGCATCATGTCCATACCATTGCTAGGGAGTAGTCCCGCCCCCTCGGCCGTTGTCGTGGCACCGAGGTCTCTAGGGGTGGAGGAGGATGATGATGATGGTGACAATGGTGAATAATGGTTATTGTTGGTGTAGGTAGTGTTTATTGTATTATGACAAAAGGGTGTATCTAAATTTGTAAAAGCTTGAAGGTTTAGGTTTAATCCTAGGGTTTGATTTGGAAGTGGAATATTATTTAAGGGTTCTATTAATTGTGTTGAACTAATTTCCCAAGGATAAGAAGGACTATAAAAATTATTATAATCGTTACAATTGTTGTTATTATTATTATTATTACTATAATAAAAATTATTATCTAATGAAGATGGTGGTTCATTTTTAACTAATGTACAAGTTTGATAATCTTGTACACTACCAAATATCGACCGGTGTTGTTGTTGCAATTGTTGTTGATGACCATCCATATGTTGTTCGTCTCGTGTTTGTTTATGGTCTCTAGCTTGTTTCATCGAGGCACGATGGTACTTGAGCGCGGTGACAATCTCCTTCCGAGCCTCGGCCATGTTGAGGAGTCTCTCTTGGTACGGGCGGCTCGTATGGAGCCGCCGTCGGACTTGCTTCTTGTGACCTTGTTGTTGGTTGTTGTTGTTTGGCTTAGCCATGCCTAATTTGTCACCTTTTTTGGTGTTTATTGATGGTTGAGGAGTAAACTCTCCAACAATAAGACTATCATTATTGATCAAGTTTTCGTTTGTGTTTAAAGGTTTTGAAGTTGTAAGTTGTTTGACAAGGCTACGAATATATGCACCCGAAAGGCGGCTTTCATTACTAGCAAGGTTATCAATAGCCATTTCTAGCAAGTATTGGTGTATTTTTTTTTTATCTTACTGTAATATTTCTTCTTTGGGTTCAAAATTTTAGGAGGTGTGATATGATTTATTTATAGTATAGTTTTTTAGATTATATTTATATATACTTATGTATTTATTTGGGGACCAATCATAAAGAGGCTACCGATTACTCCTTTCATCCCATTAAAAATTTAAAACTGTTTCATTTATCTTAATTCACTATTTTAAAAGTTGCTTATTTGAAAGCATATAGATGGCGTTATTATTATTATTTTCCTTTTAGTACGCAAAGTTTGTTACTTGCATTGTTAAAAGGGAGAAAAGATTCTATCAAAGAAATGTGACAAATTAAATGCGATCTAACTCATCAAGTGTATGATATGTAGTATAGTAGAGTACTACCCCCCCCCCCCCCTCCTTAGAGTAATCACTATGCTTTTGTTTATGGAAAAATGTCATTCAAATACGAAATTGCTCTAGTAACACTACTTTATAAGGTTAAATCTCATGTTATGGTTCAAAAAATTTTATAGAGTAAATGACATCTGCTAATTACTCTGTAGTAATCTTAAGTGTTGCTATTATTCAGAAACGAAGAGAGTTATGACTTGTGAGTTCGTAAAATAATTAAATAAAGGTCCCAAGTGTAATGAGAAGGTGTAGAATGATATCATGAGTTGTTAGGGAGTAAAATTAGAAGAGTTTGCGGTTGTGTAAGAAGTAGTAGTAATTCAAAATTCAATAGATTGGGGCGTGGCAGATTGTTTTGATTGGATCTAAAATGCGGCGCCCACGTGGCGGCAAAGTGTCAGCTAAAAATTTAAAAAAATAAATAAAATGTCATTACATTTTTAGCAGGAAGAGGAAATGAAAATGGCCTTTGAAAGCGACGCTTCAAAAATCAGCACTTCTTGCAACTTGCAAGCGGTCCTACACCGGCCTACTTGATTATTTCTTCTAAAGATTAGGTTTTTTTTTTTTTTTTTTTTTTTTTTTTGTATAATAAAGTGTTAGACTTGATAGTGAAAACATCATTTTATTTATGCGTACAAAAAAATTTGATCTAAAAAGTCCAAATGTCTATCAGTCTATGTTACATTATGGGGGTGTTTGGTATGTGGAAATTGAGTGTGGAATTAGAAGTTTTAATCTCAATTCAAATAAAATAAACCTTATTTGTTTGATGGAAATGAGAATAAAAATAGGTTTGGTAATGGAAATATTTGGGAAGAATTTTCACCATTATATTATCTAGGGTGGGACAGAGAGTAGGTAATAAATAGATGGAAATGAGAATAAGTTTAAAATGACATTTTTGCCGTAATAAAAACAATGAAAAGGAAATATTAGAGCAACTTTAATGGTAAGCTAGTTATTAAATTAGCTTGCCATGCCATATATAATTTCAAGCTAATAACTTTCTGTATAGCTATTTTGTGCCCCAATGGTTTGCTACTAGCTTGTTAATTAAATAACCTTGACCTTTTTAATTAGCCCTAGAAATTTAATTATTTTAATATACTAATGTCCAAAAATTTTGAAAATTTTTTTGTCAAGCAAATTAGCAAGGACAAGCTAATTTGCTTGCCCAAGCTAATTGTATTTTTTAGCTCCAATGGTCAAGCTAATAGCTAGAGACTTTTGAAAATTGCAAGCAAGTCCCTAGTAGGGGTGGCAAACAGATCAGGTCAGGTCGGGTTCGTGTTCGGGTTTTCGTGTTTCGGGTCAAGGAATCCCCAACCTGAACCTGATCCATTTAAGTTTTCGGGTTGAAAATCCCAACCCGAACCTGATATTTTCGGGTTCAGGTCAACCCGAAAACAACCTGATTTGACCTGAATTTTGGTAATTGTTTTAATTTTTTTTTTAGCTGAATAAACTGATTTTTAGCCAAATTTTGTGTTTTCAAACAGTTAACAAAACCTGAATTTTTTACCCAATGTTTTCAATAGTCTAAAATGCCTAATTAACTATTACACACTAAGTCACTAACACACCAAAATAGTCTTAACAAATTACAAACCATAATTAAAAAGAAAAAAATGTCTTTTAATAAACTTTAGTCCTTGTAACTCAAACAATATTCGAAGAAGCATTCTCATCAAATTCTGATAGTTCCGGCGAGGTTTGTGGTGCGTCATCGTTGTCCCCCACCTTAAGCTTCATAACGGATCCACATAGCATTGCCATTTGAGGATCCATATTATCTACAAGAAAAGATAGCAAATTAAAATCAACACATGTACTAAAATAAAAGATAATTTACAAGTAATATAATAGTTCTAACTCATTTTTTACCTTCCCCAAAATCCCAATCCCTTAAGCAAATTATAGCCTCCACTGTTTCTGATTTTAAAGCACTTCTATAACAATCAAGCACTCGACTTCCAGTACTAAAAGCTGATTCGGAGGCCACAGTTGATACGGGGACAGCAAGAACATCCCTAGCAATTTTAGCTAATATAGGATACCGGACCGAGCAAGTTCTCCAATAAGACAAAATATCAAGGTTGGTGCCTCGGGGGATAAGTGGCTCCTCATAATACATATCAACTTCAGATTTGATTGCCACATTTGATTGCTCCATAGAAAAACTATCAAAATCCTATATACCAAGATTAGATTACATGAGTAGCATGTCACAAAAAATCAAAAAATAAAAATCAGATTATCATACAATAAAATCAGATTATAATATAATAAATCAGATTATAAGAAAATCAGATTATAATACAATAAATCAAATTATATGAGTAGCATGACGCCATGACACAAAAAATCAGAAAATAAAAATCAGATCATAATACAATAAATCACAGATTATAATATAATAAATCAGATATAATAAAATCAGATTATAATAAAATCTGATTATAAAAAATCAGATTATAAAAAATCAGATTATTAAATCAGGATATGTTTTCACTTGCAATAAAGGTAAATGCATCAGAAAGACAGAAACTCATAAAGTTGTTTACCATCATAAAATCATCGGAAGCTTCATTAGCATTGGAAGCATTAGCAGTGGGAATAACATTGCTTGATGAAGAATGACTGGATGCATAAGCCTCGTACAACCTCCGTAAAGCATCCTTAACCTTAGAAAACTCAAGCTCGTATTCAACACTATGCTGACCATATATCCTCATGTAACCCCAATTGACACATTGCAACTTATATCGTGGATCCAACACCACAGCAACAGCCATAAATGTACTAAATTCTGACCAATACTTTCCAAATTTCTCATACATTTTACAAGCCATTTTTTGCATAAAAAGATCTGAACTTTTCATTTCATTTTGTAACAACAACCTAACTTGTAAGACTCTATGAAAGTAGATATTGGAAGTTGGATATTTGGTCCCAGAAAAGGCAAGTGTGACATCATGAAAAACTTTCAAAAACTTGCATATTTTTTCAACTCTACCCCATTCTTCAACAGAAGGACAATGTACATAATTGGCATCAACTTTTTGAAAGTGAATTAAAGCTTTTTTAAAATACAAAGCACAATCAAGCATCATGTAAGTTGAATTCCATCTAGTAGGAATATCTTGTTGTAAAATTCTAGTAGATTGAATTTCAACATGTGATACACAACTTAAAAACCTTTGTTTCCTAGCTTGTGAACTCTTACAATATTTGGCACTCTCTCTAATCTTATACACAGCCTCATCAATTTCTTTTAAACCATCTTGAACAATTAAATTAAGAATGTGAGCACAACACCTTACATGAAAAAATTCCCCACCACAAATCAACTCAAGTTCCCCTTTTAGATTTTCAGCAAAAACATCATTTGAAGAAGCATTATCCAATGTAATTGAAAAAATATTTTTTTGAATACCCCATTCTTTTAACAAACCATACACATGATCACATAAATGAATTCCTGTAT